TTATTTCGAACTAGCTTTTACCCGCGTCACAAAACGATAAAAAGTAGCCTATGTGATATATGTATACCAATACACACAGCGCCATCTATACCAATACTTTTGTTTTCCCTCGGGAATATCAAACTTTTCCGGGATAAAAAGTACCCTATTATTTAATCCGGACTTCTAACTTTACGTCTGCAAAAATTCAAAGCAATCGGTTTAGTAGTTACGGCGTAAAAGCGGAACAAACAAACAAACAAACAAACTCACTTTCTAATTTATAATATTAGTAAAGTTAAAAGATATAGGTAGTTGGAATACATAAAGCTACATAATTAATTTTTATTTGTGTATAATAAAAATTAAGATGCCTTACGCTAAAATTGCATTGTCTCTCGTTTTTGGTATATTACATGCTCTGACTGTCATTTTTATCGCGATTGGCTGGACGCTTTGATCCAGTTTTCTGAAAAGTGTATGTTACACTTAGGAGATGACGTGTACAAGCTTACAGAGTACATTTTATTTTTTTGACACTTTGACGTCACTAAACGCATGACCTAGTTTTAATTATTATAATGTAATTTTATACTAATCAGTGTAATAAAGACGCTCCGTAGCATCGGTTGGCTTGACAATTATACGAGTGTTCTTGACTACAATCCCCAAATCGCCCGCCGGTGTACCTGACATCTTACAACGCTGCTGAACGGATGCTACTAGCCCGAGCCCGTACGAGAAGGTTTTAACATCACGCCTTTTCTCCTCGAAAGGGTAGGCACATTATGCCACTGTACAATGTAACACCCACTTTTCACTATTTATGTTATGAGTCACATGTAATAGGGGGTGAGCCTATTGCCATATTTTACGTATCTATTTAAAAAACGTATAGTTTATAAATGAATTATTCTTAGTAATTTCGCCACAAGTCCACGCGCCGCACAGTGCCGGCAACATCAGAAAACATAACATCCATTTTGCTGATAAAGTATTCACTGCTTATACATGTATGTTGGTATTACGATTCGCATGGTATTACATGGCGGCAGGGATTAATATTATTTAATTTTTATTTATTTGTTTTTATGTCCACCATAATAGATATTATTATAGCATAGTTATACAATAGTTTATAATTTACGTAACACTTATCTGCATCACCCTATGGTTGGCTGGTAGCGAATGCCATTCGGCATTAAGCCCGCCATTGTATACACAATTTGTACATTAAGTGTTAAAATAACAGCATGATTAAACTTTTATTTAGCACAATTTTTTTTAATTATTTATTCAAGTATATATTAAAAAATAAAATAAGCCTGTATTACTGTGGTTACAAATTTACAATTTAGTCTATACTAGCTTTTACCCGCGGCTTCGCTCGCGTCACAAAAGAATAAAAAGTAGCCTATGTGACATATACCAATACACACAGCGCCATCTATACCAATACTTTTGTTTTTCCTCGGGAATATCAATTTTTTTCGAGATAAAAAGTACCCTATTATTTAATCCAGACTACTAACTTTACGTCTGCAAAAATTCAATGCAATCGGTTTAGTAGTTACGGCGTGAAGTCGGAACAAACAAACAAACAAACAAACTCACTTTCAGATTTATAATATTAGTAAGGAAGTAAGGATTAGTAAGGATAAGGATTACTATACTATACATCAGTAGTTTTACCCCCAGCTTGTCCTTCGACATAGGCCTCCTCCAAAGATTTCCAGTTTTCCCTATCCCTCGCAATTCTCATCCACTTTGGTCCAGCAGTTTTCCTTAGGTCATCTTCCCAACGTTTTGGTTGTCGCCCTTAGCTCCTTTTCCCATCTTTCATTCATGTAGGTATATAATGGTAAATAATAAATGTTTTAAATTAAGGGAACCCCGACCCAGGGTATCTTAGTGGAATCGCTGGGACTAGTTTGGATCTGGGTAGATTCCTAGGCGTGTTTCTGTTTTTTTTTATAGATCAAAAAAAGAATATTAAATGATATCGTCTAGTTAAAAATGTTTGAATAAGACGTATTTTTAACCGAATTCAAAACAAGAAGGAGGTTCTCAGTGTGACCTGTGTGCATGTATGTCTGTGCGCGTTTATCTCGTGGTTAGCTGAACCAATTTTGATGCGGTCTTCAGAAAAGTTTTTGTTTTATTTAGGAGTCAGGTTTGAAGTTAGTTTTTTAAAACGTACCTAGTTTTGTAAAATAATGAAGTATATTTACATGTTACGATCTTGTCTATCATTAAAAAGGTGTTATAATTTGTTCAGTGTCAATTATTCGTCTTTTTTTTACTTTTGTCAATTTGACTGCACGGTTGGCGTTGTGGTTGGGCAACTGACTCCCGCGCAACGTGTCACGGGTTCGATTCCCGCACAGAACAACTCTTTGTGTGATCCACAGATTGTTGTTCCGGGTGTCATGTGTATGTGAACTTGTATGTTTGGAAACGCACTCACGACACAGGAGAACATTCTAGTGTGGGGCAACGTTTGCTTAAATAAAAAAGAATTAAATAAGAATTATTCGTCTATAATTTGCACCACAATTTATTAACCACTTAATACTTCATGGGCTAAAAATTAATTTAATTTTACTTACAGTCAAAACGACATCGTTTATAACGACAAATCGGGTACAACGACGAAATTTTGAGGTCCAGTCTATTGTTTTATAAAGCATAAAGATATTGGTTATAGCGACTACTTATTGGTTATAACGGTCATAATTAATCGGTCCCTTCGATGTCGTTATAAACGGTTTTGAATGTATTTGTATTTTCGCGTCGCGGCATGTAAACCGATGTCACCGGCGCGATATCCGAGTTTGGTTTGTCAACATTTGATGCTCGCCTTCCAGGAATCCGCTCAAATCGATAATAAACACTACTAATACACGTGGGTTCTCTCTGATTTGTTGTATAATATTACTCTATCTATCTTTATACAGCTTCAGATTTGAATAAAGTTAAAAAAACAATTGTATAATTTTATTTTATTGATCTTTGTTTGTTTTTAGTATGTTGATAATGAAAAAATGTTCTTCTTGTATCAAAATTATATGGACATCATTTATTTTCGGTTCCAGAAGGAATAGGTAGTTTTATTATATTTTTATTTCGATCTCACTTTATTATTATAGCGATACTTTAAATAGTCATATTTTTTTTAATTCTGTTTAGACTAGACATGCTGTTTTCATTGTTACACCTAGACTAAATGTATGATATTGTAACGGTAAATAATATTCACAATTTATTGAAATAGTTCTGTTTATTTATGATCTAGGTAGTTTGACGTTATACTGCCATCTCTTGAGCAAATGTTTAAACGTTGTTGAACGTTTTAGATAGGTAGAGGTCACTTTCCATTGGTTACCATCGTAATTTGGTAGTATAATGAAAACATAATGCTGTCTTTAAGGTTTGTAAAGATTTTAAATCGTTACTTTTACCATCTTGAAATTAATTTACTTATTCCAGTTGTAATTTTCACAAAAATGTGTATTTAAATATTTGCAGATTGATAAATTATTTATTTATATTACGCAAAATATTACCCTACCAGATTTTGTAGCGCAGGCATTAAGGTTGCGTTCGTAATATTTTAAAATAAAAATGCCAATAAGAATCTTGTAAATAAAATTTATATCTTGAAATTCGAATTAAATCATACAAAATAATGTAAATTATACAAAAGTAAAATACATTTGTAGATTTTGGTGATTTATCTCTCATTTTGCATTAGACGATAAAATATTAGCGTTAGAATTATCCAATTTACCGAACGCAACCTAACGGCGGCCCAGATTTTTATCTGTCAAACTTATCCGGCCATTATTGAAAACCGAAAAATTGCAAAAATATATTTGCAATAAAACTAGATATCGTGACAATATTGTAGTTATAGTAATTTAATATTTAGATAATAATTTCGTGTTTACAAGTTTGTTTGTACGGCCTCACCGTGGATCCTCATATAAGCGGCAAGTTTTTAATTGTTTGTTATTGTTATGATTACCGATTTTCAGACATAATGTCTAATTTTGTTTTTTTTTTAATCTTTCCATGCAGTTTCAAAATTAAAGAAATTGATTTATTTTGAAACAGATGGAATACCTCTTTTGTAAATATTTTTAAAAGCTGTTATGCATGTATTTTCTCTAAGACGCAAATTGTGTTACGGCGTCGTTCTCCGTTTAAAATTTTCTTTTTACGTAATTATTTAATTATTTGATGCGAAATTATGACACTATTATTTTAGAAAATTAAATTTTGTCCTGTTTACTTAAAATTCTTTTTTAATGTTAATTAATTACATCACAATTAAAAATTAATATTATTGCCATATTATCAGTATTATTTATTAAAATGAATTGACATACTCTATGCAGTAATTATTAACAGATGCAGAATATTATAAATCGTTGAGTCAGTCAATTGTTCATAAATTTTTAACAAAAGCTCTGTTCGCTTTATCATCACTTATGTCTGTAATTTTAGTTTTGATAATTTAATTAGAATCGAAATACTTTTATAGTCTATATTTAATCTGTCAAACACCAAGCGGTCACCGGTGACCGCGACCTATTGTTCTTTAATTGTGTCTATAAAACCGGTACTCGACGAGTTAAAGAACAGACTACCTTGTTGGCCGAGTGGTCGCAAGTGCGATGCCAGGCCAGGGGTCTTGGGTTTGATTCCCAGTTCGGGCAAAGTTTATGGGGTTTTAAAAGAAATCTCAGTAGTAGCACGGAGTTTGGAATTGTGCCCGGTATATGGCAATAGGCTCGCCCTTTATTACATGGGACTCATAACATAAAATAGTGAATGTGTTTGGAACAGGGGTAGATTATAGCCTAAAAGTAGCTTATGTGTTAACATTAATATCCACAATGGGATGATGACAGGGTATGAAAATAGTGCAGTCGCACTCACAACCACTCGGCCAACGACACAGCATTCTGAACTATAGACAGTTTAAATAAGTTTCTCCATGCGCTGTTCCAGTGGACATGTGCACGGGGGAGTCGTGGCGCGGCGGCGTGGCGCGCTCGCCCTCCCACGAGTCCGTGACGACGGACCTGTCGCTGTTCAGCGTCTCCTCCGCCGCGTCGGATGCCAGGGTGCTGCGGTTACTGGCCTGCAAGGTAAGGACTGGTACTCCAAGGTGATGTCTATTTCTGTGGTTAATTTTGTCTAAATTATTTTTATAGTTGAAATAAATTATGCTGTACCTCCTAGATATTGTACGGTTATTTTATACAGTATAATAGGGTAGTTGCCAGGGTAAGAAAATTAAAAGTCTAATTAGTCCGTCAGTTTGGAAAAATATTAGACACGTTTTGTTTTATTTTCTCGTATAAAGTTACAATATTTAGATAAAATGGCGTCAAGTTTAGGAGCGGGAGGTCGTTACGTCACACGATATTTTAAATTAATATATCGTCGAAAGTATTTACTTTTGTGGTAAAAGGAAAAATACGGGTCTAATGTTTTATGTAAATATTCTAATTGATATACTATTTGGCAGATACGACTATCGCCACAATGATTACTGAATCTCTCATGTTTACAATCTCATGAGCTAAATCAAGATATTATATTAAATAGTTTGATAATTATGTTTCCAGGCCGGGCAAGGTCCCGACCCGTCGCTACGAGTGGCCAGCCCGAACCCGGATAGCAAATATTTGAAGTGAGTACTTGTCCACTACTGATCAAAGTCAAAATCATTTATTTCAATTAGACCAGGAAGGCACTTTTGATCGTCAACAATATAAATATAAAAGTGAATCTATTTGCTCATTCCAAGGCGTAGATTCCTATGGAGAAGAACGAGCAAGAAACTCCATAGGTCATATCCTTTTTCAATCAGGTTCACAATACAATTTACTAGTTACATAGTTTTGCTGTTTGGATTGTGTGAGAACAATGTAACACCAAAATCCAGTCAAAGTGATCGAAAAAGAAAATAACCTTAAAGACAATAAATAATACAGTCTGGAGCTGACCAGTCCCAGTTGACGGCGCCCGTTCACGAACATGACACGTACACCAGCACCGCCCAACTCAACCATATTGTAGGGAATCGAGCGATCCACTGCACGCGCCACCGCCAATGAGACCTTTGAGTGAACATAATGAGCAACTGATGGCCGATCTTGAGCCCTGAATGCACCAATCTTATATCTATATATATAAAATGCGAGAACACAAAAAAAAACTAAAAATTAAAAAATAATTCCTAATACCTATTACCTAATACTATAATTTTTCTAAACTATATCAAAGTAATTAAAGTTAAACCATCTAAATATCTTAAAATAGTTATACTTATATACCTACCTATTGTTTTTTGGAGTCGGTGCCAGTGCCAGCGTATTAAAGTTTACCCGCGAACTAGAGACGTGCGACGCGGTGGCGGGGGACGCATGGCGCGAGGCGGGGCCGCGCGGTGCGGCGGGGGACGCGGGCGCGTGCGGTCTTGCTCGAGTAAGGCGTAAGCGACCCGAAGGCGGGCAGACGCTTGAGGGCAGACTACGTTGACGCTCGTGTCAAAAATACTGAATTTTCGGATGCGCAATATTTCAAATTATTGCGTTCTTTTTTGTTTGTTGTATTCTATTGTAGGATTTGTAGGTATTTGTTATTCTTTGTTGGTATAGGTTTAGTTGTACCAGGCTACATACAACTTATTTCTTAATATTTTTGTTTCATTGAGTACTTTTTCTTATTTCATTAGGTTTAATATTCATTTATTACTGGCACCGACTCCAAAAAACAATAGGTAGGTATATAAGTATAACTATTTTAAGATATTTAGATGGTTTAAACTGTCAAACACCAAGCGGTCACCGGTGACCGCGACCTATTGTTCTTTAATTGTGTCTATAAAACCGGTACTCGACGAGTTAACTTTAATTACTTTGATATAGTTTAGAAAAATTATAGTATTAGGTAATAGGTATTAGGAATTATTTTTTAATTTTTAGTTTTTTTTTGTGTTCTCGCATTTGAAGTCGGTTTTATTTTTTTTAAAAAGTTAATTATTTTATTTTAAAATTTTTAGTGTTACTTTTTTGTAGATACCCTTAGTGCATTTAATATGGGTAGGCCTACTAAACGCGCAGCCTTAATGAGACAGCGCCGTTTGGAGGAAACAAAAGAAGAAAGGGAAGTGCGTTTAAAAGAAAGTAGAGAAAGAAATGCTAAAAATATATTAAAGGAGAGTGATGAGCAGCGGACTTCTAGACTTTCGAAAATGAGAGCATACGAAAAGTTAACCAGAATCAATGAAAGCCCCGAACACCGGACTCATCGGCTTGGTTTGATACACGATCGCTTATCTAGCGAAACCGAAGAGCAACGCTCTCACCGGCTCGGCTTGATACACGATCGTTTATCTAGCGAAACGGAAGAGCAACGCTCTCATCGGCTCGGTTTGATACACGGTCGCTTATCTAGTGAAACCGAAGAGCAACGCTCTCATCGGCTCGGTTTGATACACGATCGTTTATCTAGCGAAACCGAAGAGCAACGCTCTCACCGGCTCGGGTTGATACACGATCGTTTATCTAGCGAAACCGAAGAGCAACGCTCTCACCGGCTCGGGTTGATACACGATCGTTTATCTAGCGAAACCGAAGAGCAACGCTCTCACCGGCTCGGGTTGATACACGATCGTTTATCTAGCGAAACCGAAGAGCAACGCTCTCACCGGCTCGGGTTGATACACGATCGTTTATCTAGCGAAACCGAAGAGCAACGCTCTCACCGGCTCGGGTTGATACACGATCGTTTATCTAGCGAAACCGAAGAGCAACGCTCTCACCGGCTCGGGTTGATACACGATCGTTTATCTAGCGAAACCGAAGAGCAACGCTCTCACCGGCTCGGGTTGATACACGATCGTTTATCTAGCGAAACCGAAGAGCAACGCTCTCACCGGCTCGGGTTGATACACGATCGTTTATCTAGCGAAACCGAAGAGCAACGCTCTCACCGGCTCGGGTTGATACACGATCGTTTATCTAGCGAAACCGAAGAGCAACGCTCTCACCGGCTCGGGTTGATACACGATCGTTTATCTAGCGAAACCGAAGAGCAACGCTCTCACCGGCTCGGGTTGATACACGATCGTTTATCTAGCGAAACCGAAGAGCAACGCTCTCACCGGCTCGGGTTGATACACGATCGTTTATCTAGCGAAACCGAAGAGCAACGCTCTCACCGGCTCGGTTTGATACACGATCGTTTATCTAGCGAAACCGAAGAGCAACGCTCTCACCGGCTCGGTTTGATACACGATCGTTTATCAAATGAATCTACCGAATCGAGGATGACCCGATTAAATGCTATGATACAAGTGAGTCGTAACCAAAGGGTCATGTCTTCTAAAAATGATTTCGAAAGAGCAATTAATATTTTCGCGGACGTTCCATGTGCGGTTTGTAACAAGGCATTATACCCACAACAACGTTGCAATTTAGGCACTACAATGTTCAGTGCCTTATTACCCGAAGAACTGGTTAGTTTGCGTACTATTACGACATGCTCTCGTTGTCACAATAACATTAGAAAACGAAAAACACCACCGGCTGCTTTCTGGAATAATATGACTGTTGCCTCAATACCTGAAGAGCTAGCTAATTTGACAAAACTTGAAGAACGATTTTTATGTCGAGTGGTACCGTTTCTTAAAATAATGAAGCTGCAGAACAGATTCTGCCAGGATTGGTGCAAGGGACAGGTAGTGTTGTTCGCAAAAGACGTCGCAGAAATCGCTGAGCAGCTGCCACTTGCGCCAAACCAAGCAGGATTAGTTCTTGTTGTCGAAAGTCTAGAAAATTTGCAACGTTCTCGAGAGTTTGTTGTGAATATGAGCAGGCTACATAGAGCTCTAACTTGGCTAATGACTAATAATGTCCTATACAGAGATGTTAGAGCCTTATTTGATAATATTTTAGATATTTCTGAAATTGTTCAAATCGCTGAAGATCCGGCAAATACTGGTGAGTTAACGTCTGTTCCTCAAAATCATTATGTTAATTTGAATGAAAACATTTCAATTTTACATGGATCATTTCACCAAGCAGATTCTAGATTTAGCTTACATTCTCGTGGCAAACAATGTACTGCTGTAGCGGCTGTAGCTTGTGCAGCATTTTGTATGGGGGAACCAGAGCTATGGGCTAAAATTGACATTGACTATATAGTTATACTCGGAGATAAACTGTACACGGAGTCTGTTGCTACAAGACAAGCCCCTGCAGACGGTGAAGTTAACTCTGAATATCTCGCCGCTAGTGATCTTGCACCGCAAATATTGTATAACAGGAAAATAATTAATATCTCTGTTGTTGAGAGCAACTATAATGGTCATATAGATAACGATGAAAGTTCTGCCGGCTTGCCAAATCTAAAAAATGCCCTTACATTGTTTTTCAGCGACAACCGTTGCGGTTTACTTACTGCAAATGCCATCACTGTAGCGGTATATTGTAAATCTGCAGGTGACACCTATACATATTGGTTGTTCGATTCACATGCCCGTGGACCTAAGGGTGCGAAAGCCCCACGGCGAGGTGCTGCCTGTTGCATGAGATTTGAGCACATTCATGATTTGTATAACACATTGCGACGAAATTTATATTTGGTAAATAAAGCCCAAGACTCTCTTATGCATAATGTTTACTCACTGACTCCTTTGCTTGCTGAAAACCAACAAGAAGTGCACCCACATAGTCCTGTGTTAGATAGCAGTCACGTTTCTCAGCATGCATCTCTTCCGATCTCAGCTCCAGTCCAACAGCAGTCTTCACAACCACAAGTTCATCAAATTGAAAATATAATAGAAACGACAAGTATGTTGCGCGGCATAGACGAATCTGTTCCAAATCTAGAGACTATAGTTACAGTGAATCCCGACTCTAATACTAATGACAGCGAAATGAGGATTGCTGAGATCAAAAGGAAAACAGCACCGCCATTAAATGTAGATCGTGAGAAAAGAACAGAGGAACTTGCATGGTATTTTCTTTTCCCTGATGGTAAAAATGGATTTGGGGAAGAACGACCAGTAAAGATTACAGCTTTGGATTATTTCCAAAGTCGAATCATGAGCGTGGATAAAAGATTTAGTCGAAATGACTATTTGTTTTTTGCTCTGTCCATCGTTGAATATTTTCGGGCTAAATCTAGTGTATCGGTTTCATGCAGGATGCGTCAGGGTCAGGGTGAACAAACACCTCGAGGTCTCATTGACAACATGCATCTTACCATGAGAAATATACGAGGATCAGCATCTTATTGGCATAAATGTTGCTCTGAACTCATTGCGATGGTCCGAACGTTAGGGGCACCTACGTGGTTTATGACGTTTTCTTGTAATGACCTTAACTGGCGAGATATGATAAATGCATTACTAATCGCAGATGGTCGTAACACAAATGAAGCAGAAAGCCTGTCATTTCCTGATCGTTTGGCGTTGGTACAAAAACATCCTGTAGTTGTCTCTCGACAATTTACGATTCGCGTCAATGCTCTCATGCGATTTCTTAAAAGCAATCCAGATGTCTTAGGAGGTCCAGTAGTAGACTTTTGGTATAGAATCGAATTCCAAAATCGAGGAAGCCCACATCTTCATATGTTGGTATGGTGTCACAATGTTCCAGATTTCTCTACTCGAGAGGGTGT